GGAGGGGGCGCAGAAGCAGGGTCCAGGGGCCGCAGGCCCCGGTGGGGGGGGTGGGGGGGGGCGAAGCCCCCCCCACTGTAGAAAAACGAAATGACAAGTGAAGAGAAAATATTGAAGAAAAAGAGATGCAAAATCCTAAATTGAGATTCGAAAGAACGAATGCAAAAGTTGTAATTCACGGAGTCTGTCAAAAACATTCAAAAAACATCTAGATGAGAATGGAAATCTTCCTCCTCCTGAAATGGAAATTGCAACAAATTGAAAGAATAAAAAGAAGGATTAATCATTTTTCTAAATTTATTCTCATGAGAAAATCAACGTGTGAACATCTACAGTTTACAACTTTTCTTTTTCATCGTTCCTCTTCTTCTCACAACATACTCAAATTTTTCATCACATTTTAATAGAAATATATATATAATCTATTCAAAATAGATATATAACGAGAAAGTGAATATAATCTCTTTATTAAACTAATATTTTGACAATATAACCCTCAAGTTACGACTGACTCCCTAGCAACGGAATAACAACTCCTGATGTCATCGGCAATGACGGTGGCGCATCGTATTAGTGGTGAACGATCCGCCGAGTTTTCAAGCAAGTGACAGCGATAACCGCACACTTCATGTTGTATTCCTACGAAGGTTTTGTGGGTTGCCCATCTAGAAACTGTATGTTTTTATTGTCCTAGGGCTGCTAACTCGAGTTAACCATACCTGTGCTTCGTTTAACGGACCTGGTCTGTTAAACGCCATTTAGCTTCCCTCAAGACAGCTATAGTAGGCGCTACCTAACGGGCCTGAATGACGAAATAGTTATTTGTGTCACAAGGCCCGTAAGTGGAGGTTTGCGATGAGTGTGAAGTTAGCAGCACGAGGCGTCGTTAAGGTAGGGACGAGGCTCGCCGAAGGCTCTAACTCACACGAATCGCAAACCGATACTACGGGCCGAGTGGCACATACTATTTTTTGTCATGAATGCCCAGGGGTGTGGTGGGGGGGAAGAGCGGGGTCCAGGGGCCGCAGGCCCCGGTGGGGGGGGGCGAAGCCCCCCCCCCCACTGAAGAAAGACCAAATAAACAAAATTGAAAAGAGGGAAATGATAAATTATAAATTCTAAATTAACGGACCGATCTAGGATGAAAAAATGAAGTAGAATGTGTCACAAGGTAAAATTCAACTATTTATGCTGACGTACTTGCTGCGTCGTCACTGGTATTATTCACTTCACTAAAAATGTCTTGTGACTCCTCTTCGTCACTGTCGGGTATAATAAAATTCATTTCGCTCTTTTGTTTAACGGAATTTGTTACGATTTTCCTCGTGAATTTTGGCTTTTGGTGGCAATTATAGTTCAGCCGCACGAGCTATAGTGTAAGAGGGACTCACTTCACGTCTTACTTAACAGGCCATGGCCCGTAAATCGTGAAATCGGGGCTAGTTTTTACTTACCGGCCCATGGCCTGGAAAATCCCACTTACGGGTTCTAAACCACACCACGAAAACGCCACTTAACGGGCATGAATGAATATCTCGTTCAGGAATCGTCGAACCGACCTGAAAAAAAAGGATGCATTCTGAATTCAATGTAAAACACATTCGGTCAATATTTTTCTAATAAACAATCTCCGTTGATTAAAAAAAAATCGAGAAAATTCGTCAAAAAAAGTGCTGTTAAAACGATTGTAACTTGTATGGGGTTTATGGGCCCGGCCACCGGCGGTCCCTCAAAATTGAAAACACATGTGCGACTGCCTATCTCTTTCAGGGATGTCGATACCAGTTACAGTCGTTTGGGCCCTTTGGGGCGCAAATACACTGTACATTGCTTGCCCCCAGAGGGCCCAAACGACGGTAACTGGTATCGACGTCCCTGAAAGAGATAGACAGGCGCACATGTGTTTTCAATTTTGAGGGAATGACGGTGAGCGGGCCCATAAACCCCATAACGAGTTATGATCGTTTTAACAGCACTTTTTTGACGAATTTTCTCGATTTTTTTTTAAATCAACGGAGATTATTTATTAGAAAAATATTGACCAAATGTGTTTTACATTGAATTCAAAATGCATCATTTTTTTTGTCAGGTTGGTTCGACAATTCTACAACGAGATAGCCGCAGTCGACATTTCTATTAATTAAATAAATAATAATTACAATATTGAGTTTTTTCTTCTCTCGTTGGCTTCCCAAGGGTTCAACGAATCTCTGGAAAAATTGACGATTAAAAAAAAAAAATTCGTACATATATGGTAGCGCTCCTCACAGCGATTATAAATAAACTAATCAAATTAAAAACATGTAACTTCGTATTGGATGAGTGAAATACTTATATTACACAGTGCAATTGGTCTCATATTTTTACGATTTTTTTTCGTCGAGTTATAGACGTTTATTTCGAGTGGTCTCTACTTTTGACACCGACAGTAGGGCTTGAGTTTCAGGGGAGGGGCGGGTAAGAGTATGTTCGGTTAAAATTTCGAAATTTTTCATGAAAATTATATTGATAAACGACAGGTTTGAATATGCATCCAACATTGAATCCAGTTTCGTAATGTTTATGTATTGAAGAAAAATATTAAAAATAACTTGATAAAAAAAATCGAGTCTCATTGTGTTGCGAATTTTTTTCGATCCAAATTTCGACCAATAGAATTGCACTATTCGACTGTTATTTTATATAGTCAACACGGTATTCAACTGATAATTTTTGTCAATTCCACTGGTAATTTTTCATGTTGATATATACAATATACATATATGAAAAAGAAAATATTTCCTAGTCGAGCGAGCCCCTCATTGTATCTGACAGTTGAATTTTGTCTCATAGTGTAATTCTCTTGTCGGAAATTTGGATGGAATAATTTTTTTCCGAATACCACTCGAGCTTCAAAATTTATCCGGTATTTTATTCCAGGTTGCCTGCATACAAACGAACCTGTTGGAAAATACCTGATAATTTTGAAGCTCTCTTGGATTCTATCGGATTTCTCTTGAATTTCTAGTGAAAATTTACTTAGTTTTTGGGCGATTCTGTTGAGGAATTACATAGTTTTACTTCACATTTTTTTCTTATAGACAATATTTTAATAGAATTGGCCGAAAACTCATACAGAGTTTAAGTCGACACTTCCTAATACAACAAGGGTATTTCAATTTTATGTTTAAAACAAAGGTATCTCAGAATTCTCCATAAAATGAATTTATCTGAATTTTCCGGGGAAAATTCGTCGAACTCAAACGAAATCAGAAAAAACCTATTTCGTGAACGCTAATTAAGTAATGTTCAACCGATTCAGTCGATATATTGTGAATTAATAATATATTAAGAGATCCATACCAGAGAATTAATAAAATGAATGGGAGGGACGAGTGGAGTGATCGCATCAAGGATGCAACGGGAAAGCTGAGTGGTAGATCATCAGTCTTGAATTCATCAATAGGACAATTGAAGTCATCTCCTGAATCGAGTCTAGTGGAGTTTTAGAACGCATATATATGGAATTCTATGATTCAAAATCCAAATACGGATACAGGGAAAAGAAATTGAGTGAATGAAATTAGCCAGCACTTACGTGCATAACTACGCCTCGTAGGATCAGAATAATTCGAAGGTATTGAAGGTATCTGTTTT